TGGTATCTCATAAGGGTCAAAATACCTCATGATGAGGTTCATGATTCTCTTTGAGCTCTTAAGGATTCTGTGTTTTCCTCTTCCCCATTACTCCATCAACTTCTTCAAATACACACAATAGTTTCTCCATGAGGGATTCATGAATTCCTGGGCAAAGTAACGCTATTACCCTAGCGGAGGAAGAAGTAAAGTATCGTGAGGACTTAACAACATCCTGGAGCATCAATACAGGCACTAAATATTACTATTCATAACACACGTAGTTACCCAGTTTTCCTTCAGAACGCTCAAGAACACTCAGTCGGTTTACGCAATTTGAAGCTATATCATTAGTCGGAGGTGAGAAATAATAAAACACATCAATCCTTCGAGCAGAGATCAACCATCTTTGTCAACAATCGTTTGCTTGCCTCTATATGAAAGATATCATCTTCATCAGTACTTTGTGAGTACTGCCCTATCCGGTCTATCTTCTCGGTAAAGATGGAGCTTGGTGAGAGAGTCTGCTTTGACAAGCACCCGGCTTTCACCTCTGTCCATTCTGACCAGCAAATTTGTAGATCAGCCCCGTGGTCTACAAAGGATTGACAGGATACACACAATTCGTGCAAGTATGCCGTATCATCGGGAGAAGAATCCCTCAGGTGTTCAAGACATAGCATCCAGGGACTCCTCAGAACTGTAGTTGTTGGCCTATTCTCTGTTTCGCCGACTTGGGCAACTTCATGCTGCACATTTGGGTCAATTCCCAGGCCCACAAAGAAATCGGCAAAACCTAGCTTGCTATATTTCCATGTACGTATAATCCTAGTTTCTAGTCGCCGTTCAGGGCCATAAAACGTGCAAAGAAATAGTCGCTCCAAATGATGGCTAGAAAGAGTACCTTCCTGAGCCTTTGCCTTGATGTATGTTTCGGCATGCCACTCAAGGAAGGTCCCCAGAAACATCGCTGCTATACCCTCAGCTGTGCATGTATGAGGGGGAAATCGATACTTGTCAGTCGAGCTTTTGATTGTACTGATGAAGAGATCAGTCCACAGGCGGTTTAAGCTTCTACCACGTCGAAATGCTTCTGGGAACGTTTCAACCCAAGCTGACATAAGTTGCTTGCCGGTATTGTCAAGCTCGTCCATAAGCTCTATCCACTCTGAGACTACGGAATCAGAGACCTGGAATCGAGCACAGGCTTCGTAGATTAAAGCACATCCCAACGGGTGGAACTGGTCCTCTGCCCAGCACTTTTGTAGAAATTCCGAGTCATTTGCTTCTTCTTTGTATTTCCGTCCATCTCTTCTTGTAATGGTTTCTTTGCAACCTTTTAGTCTTCTGATCATGCTGCTCATGAAAGCTAGCTTTTTCTCATCGTTTGAGTCAAACCCAGTATAGTCTTGGAAGACTTCGCCCGTACTTAATTGCTGGATGATGAACTCCTTAGTAGTCTGGTCTGTGACATCTGGAGTTAGTAATTACTTTCTAAGGACGGTGAATGAATAGAGAAATGCTGGATAGAGATATCTCGGGAGTAGACACCCAGTTTGGGACTATGTCTTTGTCTCTAGTACTCAAAAGATGGCCAAAAAAGGTGAAAAGAACTGTAGAAGGTGCTTACGCAGAAAGTCTACGTGCCTCGCCCCTTCCAGGAGACCTGCGCATCGGCTCTTCAAGCGCCGCTGTAGTCGCGGCTCTTCCCTGGGCTTCAGGAGGAGAGGTTCCTCTCTTGCCAACAATTCCTTGGTTTGTCGATGACGATGGCCTTCCGCACCCAGAAATAAAGCCATTATGTCTAATTCGTTACAACCAGATTCATTGCAGAATAGAGCAAGTTCGAATATTCTCCTGGATTCCGAAAGATGCTCTCGCTCAACTGTGGTGTTCAGCATGTGCTTGTATAGTTCGCTGAGTTGTCTTGGCAACTTCTCAAGGATGTCTAGAAGCTCATCCTTACTATCGCCTCTCAGGTTGCCATCGGATATCATATCCACGACTATATGAACCCACTACAATATTTGAAATTAGCGAAAGTCTTGTAGGGTTGGCGAAAACGCTTCAGGGGCAACTGTTCAGATTGGGATTATGTCTTTGTGTGGAATACTCTGATCACGGGAAAAGGATATGCCTCTTAAATCCAGGATTCGCTTACCAGAAATATGCCTTCTGATCTCTCGGTAATTCGGCTAGCAAACTCATGACGGTCCTCGAGGTCCGGGGTTAATTCCTGTAGCTTCCCCTCGCAATATTGCAAGATATCGGCGCTAGTGAGTTCATGAATCCGAAGCCTTGGGAATTTGTCAAAGTGATTGTCGAACACCAGAAGCTCTCTGCTGGAAAAGCAAATTTTGATGTTTTGGCTTTGTTTTGTGAGCTGCAACATGAGCAATACCACTTCTTTGTGCCCTTCAATGATCCACTTGCTAAGTCCCCAGCTCGCGTCGCCCGAATTTTGATAAAGTAGATTGGAATAATTAGCCGGGTAATCGTCGCTTTTGTCAACCATGCGGTATTCATCAAGACCATCGATAAATAGACACAGCTTGGATTCACCCAGTGCCTTGATTGCTCGTGTCAAATGTTTAGAGAGTTCAGGCCAAGCCAAAGGATCCATATGAAACTCTATCTCCTCGGCCGGAACTCCTACCAGTCCGGGAAATGTAACTGATAATAGATCTCGTCGAACGGTTAAAAGTTGGTGGAGAATACTTCTCAGCATACCCTCTCTGGACTTTTGCAAACTCAGCCCCCTTTCAAAAAAGAAGTATGCTGCCAGTATGAGCTTCTGTCCGCCAGCCCAATGGGACAGGGCGCGTTTCGTTTCTTCATGATGATAGAGGAATTTCATCAAGGTCGACTTCCCGGACCCGGCTCTCCCGCTGATCCAAAACAGTTGATCATTATGCTTCAGCCAGGATAGAAGCCGCATGTGAGCATCAAGTTGTCGGTCTGTGGAGGTGGTTTTATGTTTGGCATTGAAAATCCAGGAAAAGGTGTTCTCGTATGCTGAATCAATGCCATCTTCGCGCCCATTCATGTCCTTAAAACTTAATCGTTCAAGAATTGCTGTAGGAGTTGTATTGTCAGACTTGCCATGACTCAGGGCTTCCTGTGTTGACTCAAAGAAATCAGACATACCCTCATTTCTGATCTCAAGGGCTGAAAGTGCATTCACAACCAGTTAGCTTTCGAATACGGCGATAATCCATAGCAAAACCAAACATGACAATCAGGTGCTCCATGTACCCCAGATCATTTCGATAAAAGAGGAAGTCGTTGGGGCTTTCAGAGTGACCTACCTCGATCAGCAATGTGCTTCGCTTTTCCGTTGACAAGGTGTTCTATATGAAACAAGGACCTTTGATATCCTTCATCCTCCCTTGAGTCGAATCTAACCATATCCATATGATTCGAGTTTATCGAATCTTTGCGAACAGCAAAACCCTCGTAGGAAGCCGATACTTCCGGGACGATCTGTCGTATGGACTAGATTAACATCCACCAAAACACAATGGCATACAATCTCAAGATACTTGGGAGACTTACGAGTCCTATTCCTGTCGGTAATTCCTCCCTAACACATACAATATCTAGTCGACTAGAGACAGTCGTGAATTGATCTCGTTGATTTTCTATAATGTCAGAGTCTGGTCTCAGAGTTCGAATGAGCTGCGAATTTGGCTGGCGAAACGATAACTTCGCGAGAGACGCTACTAGCTCTCCGAGAGATGCTTTACTGCTTCCCCGATGAGGAGTTCCGTAGAAAATGACGCCATATGTTCTCGAGAATATTTTACCGAGCATCGGGTGTCTGTTGTGACTGTTGAAGGCGGCAGCCTTGATCAAGGACTCTTTGACGACCAGGCCACCAAGGCTGTGGCATATGAAAACGATAACTCGATCCTAAAAGGCTAGATGTCAGCTCCTTTTGCTCTATGAAGTCATCCGCAGTTCAGAAAGGCTCTGTCGGACATCTGTCACCAGCGAGATTGTTGACAGTCTTTCGGTTGCCCTCTACCTACCACATCCTTGCGAACGCGAGCGAGGTCATTGAGCAGCGTGTCAGCATGCCCAAAAATGCTCTCCTTGCTGGCATAGCTGAATACATTGGCCACGCTTGAGTCGTAACCCCAGGTCAATATTCGAACATTGTCCACATCTTTTGGGAGCAAGTCGCGCGGCCAGCAGACGTCTCCTTTGGACCAGGTTTTGATTCGAGACCCACGCAATCCATGGACAAATACTAGATCAACTCCGCTGTCACTTCCCTCGCATGTGTCACTGAGAACTAGCGGCCCGATCCCGTCCGCTGGTGACGCACTATTTGACGGCCCACTGGCGTCCTTGAGCCCCTTTGCTGGGACACCAATCGCGCTCAAGTTGGAGTCTTTACCGGGTAAGTCGACCGCACCATCTGACCTTGCATCCTTCTTCTTCTTGTTTTGAATGAGGCGACGGAATGCTTCCATGGGTACTGTCTCTCATATAGGTATGCAAAAGGGACGATTCGGGGTTCGCCCCCTCTATATCAGCCTTAAGCTGGTCTCCGCTCGAATGATTGCGGGCATGGTGAGAGGGGCATGCATGAGGACCACCAATTGCATGTAGATAATCATCGCGAGGCTGGCACAGGAAGACACACAGTGTGATAAGTCCTTACACTGTAACTCAGCCCGATGTCTTATGGCCCGAAGAAGCGCCTTGGTACCTAAACCAGTCAAAAGTTCAGAAACTCGGGAGCTGACATTATCTATTGAGGTACGATGGTATAATCGGTAAATGATGTTGATAAGTTACGTGTCTCAGGTACCAAACACTGTAGTGACCGCCAGAGATGGATACCTCATACCTGACAGGGATGCCAAGTGTTTGGTCTCCTACCATAGTAAACTACGCTAATAGTCTCTCGTGATACGTTGAGTTGTATGCTCATTCAGGCAGATCTTCTGCAAACATCATACATAGGCGTATATATATTCGCTCTCACGACACAGTCTATAACCGCATCTATTTTACTCTCTGATGCGGCCAAGCGCCTGGCCCATCTTGACCTTCTGCCCCTTCTCAACGTTCCAGGCCCATCCACCAGACTTGAAGCCAGCCTCATCTACTCCTCCGACTGGTGCCTCGAATATCATGACGATGGTGCTACCCAGCTGAAACCCACCCATTTCCTCGCCCCGGCGCAGCGCATGTCCATGAAGCACGGGGCTGGCGCTCTCGTAGGTGGCCTCAGAGAATCCGGAATATGCTTCGCCGCGGGCTGCAGCCTCTTCGGCCGCGCGGTCTGCCGCGGTGTCGGTTGTCAGGCTATTCGTTCGCAGCTCACGATCGAAATTGATCTTGATAGAACCAACATTGGTCGCACCCACAGGGACGTAGCTAAAGAAGCCCCAGCGCCATCGTCCAAGAAGAACAACGCGCTCGTTCAGGGTGAACAGGCCCGGTAAAGTCCGCTGCAGGTATGGAGAAACACTATATAGCTCTCCAGCGAAGTGGCGCCGGCGTTCTACAACCCAATTGGCTGGCGAGTGAAAACGGTGATAGTCGCCTGGAGCAAGATAGATAACAGCGTAGAAGAGGGAGGTTTTCCGGTCCTCTGAAAGCATATCATACCACGGCTTCTCACCCAGCGCAAGATCCGCTCGCACCTCGGAAACGGACCTGGGGGATGGCGTTACTGATTGATCCTCGACCTCATCTGCTTTCGACATAGACGGTCCAGTCAGCAGGTTTGGGAGCGTGTACGAAATGCCGTTGACGCGAGCGAATTCCTCATCCTGCTTCACAACCTCCTCGTCCTTCTGCAGCCCTTTTGTGTCTGAGCCCGCGGCTTTTGCTTGCTCTTCAGTCAAGCTCTGGTCAGAAATACTCGGTGGTGGCGTGTTCTTTCCTAAAAGCGCTTCGATGCTGTAGGTCATGCCTTTAACCTGCTCGATGTCACCACCTTCGATCTGTCCGAACTGCAGCACCCGCCCATCGGACGGCGAAAGCAACACATTCGGATCAGGGTCGAGCGGCCGGGCCCCTGGCTTCAGTGTTCGGTAGAAGAAGGCTGCCAAGTTGGGGTAAGTATGTAAATCTGGCTCTGACACTTCATCAAGGCTGTGATACATTAGCACGGTTCGATCAGAACTTTATAGAAGCGGCTAGTATCGCACTTGACCCCAAAAATGAATGAATAAAGCTTGAACCCGGGAACTCGCAAGTAATAAGGGATGTTGATCTCATTGAATTTGCCCCATAGCCTGGAAAGCGCCTTCAAGGGTAGAGTCGACATGACCTGAACTTGCCTAGCGGTAAATCATCAGCCCTTGATTGTGTGGATGCAAAATCACGCCGTCTTGGGCATACCAAGGTCCATCAGGTCTGATGCGAGCCCGCTTCCTTGGCCGTTTCTCTCCATCCAGGCCTTGTTTTTCCCGCTCTTGCTTCTCCTGCTCTCTGGTATAGACCTTATAGAACTGAACACAACCAAGAAAACCTATTCCCACACCGACGGGTATCTGGTACCATTGAATCTTGGAATTGCGAAGAGCCGTTCGTAAACGCGACGAGAACCTTGGTCTCTGCTGAGACTGTTGTGAAAAGAGGCGTCGGCTAACGGCGAATTGATTCGGCTGCGATCTCGTCCCGGCCTGGAGACCTTGCCTACAAACACAGGTAGAGCATCGGATAAAAGGTTCGTTCAGAACCTTCGTCCGGCTCAAGCCTGCGGCGATCGATAGGGAAGCCATCGAGATTCCTCGGCCGAGAGGCCTGTGTACTTTTCGAGAGAAACCGAAGCAAGTCAAATATCGAGAATCCGTTTAGTGGTCAGACTCATCGATCCATCCTAGAGCATGTACTGGTATCCGCGAAGTTGACCCCGAGTGGATCGTGTTGAATTGGCACGCAAAGCCGTGGTTCTGGTCTCGAGCTGCAAGATTTGGGGGTTTGGGGGAATGACGCAGTTCGAAGCTGGAGAGCTTCTGTTAGCGTGACGGAAATTACCGTGCTTTGACACCCTTTTCGTTGGAATTGCGACAGAGTAGCTCGCAGTTGTGGTACCTGCGCGAATGCGGGAAACCGCTAGGCCCCGCATGTACACTTGCTGCAGGGTACCCGCCGCCTTACAGGCCACCTTAACCTGGAAGCCAGGGTGGAACTCCCTACAATTTGGAGACCGACGAAAGTGGACAGCAACACATCTGCGGCTTTCGAGCTGATTAATTCAACCAACCCATCAATCTTCCAAGCTGTCCTTTGAACCAATTCTTGTTGATTTTGGTACAAAGCTAGATCCTTTCGTGAGGGTGCAAGGACATCTTGACTGATCGCCCTGATGATCTCCACTACCTGCTGTCCGATTTCCTGAGCAGGGACACGGACATCTTCCTGACGCGTCAGTCAGCGACTGGTCAGCTCCTCTTGTTTGAAGCTATCGTCAAAGCTTGGGCCTCATAAAACCACTTCTCTCTATCGAAGGAGGAGACAATCCATTGATTGACTTGTTGAAAGAACTGAAGCGAGACACGACGTTCAGGCAAATATCGCAGCCACTCACTACAATGACTCAAGAGCCAACACCTTCCATTGCCGCGGGGGAAGGCCCTCTGACTGTCAACCTTCAAATTGTTTCGCCTTCTGTTGGAGTGAACGGACCATTGAGCTTCCCAGAACTCTCCGCCGCAACGACTGTTCAGCAGCTCAAAGGCTTGATACGGGACAAGCTCTCGCTTCGACCAGCCGATGATCACCAACGGTTGATCCATCGAGGCAGACTCCTCGCGAGAGACAATGACACGCTGGAGAATGTGTTCGGCGCTGAAGCAGTTAGTGTTGACTTCTCTTTCAACAGCGGCTCGATCTTAGCTGACAGAGCATAGTTGCGGACAAAGGAACCGCAGACGCTACATCTGGTGCTCCGAGACCATGCCGACCATCACCACCACTCCACACAACCCACGCCGGTCCAGGGACAGAGTCCTGCTCCAGGGTTGCCCAATCGACAACCAAACGGTCCTCAGATTCAACCTCACCCGACGCCACTTCATCAGCACGTTCACCAGACTTTCCGCTTTGCTAGACCTGGACAAGTACCAGGAGTTCAGAATGGCCAGGTTCCAGTCCCTGGCTTCCCCCAACCACAAGCACCCCTCGGTGCACTAACGCCGCAGATGATCGCACAACAGCAGCATCAAATGCATCAGACTATGACGCAGTGGATGAACCAGCTACAGAGGGAGGCGAACTACAGACATATTGTTGCTCAAGGCCAGCAGGCGAGGGCTGCCATGGGAATGCATGGCATTCAAGATCAAGCAGCCAACCCTACGGCAGCCGGGAATCCTCCTGTGCAGGGACAAAATGGCGCCGGCCCACAACCGGAAGGTCACAGCTATATTAGGGAAGCAGTTGGACCCAACGGCCAGCACTGGCGCATTGCCGTCAACGAGACGGTCATTCAACCGCCGAACATACAAGGCAGAAGCACACCCGGTCAAAATGGACTGTCAACAGCAGATGTTCAGGGGATCTTGCGCAATGCAGATGCGAACCAAGCCACACAGGCAACGCTTGCAATGACTAACGCGATGCACAGGAGCGCTTCAGGAGCATCATTAGCCAGTCTAGGTGGTCAACGTGCGGGTCCTGGGGTCACTGTACCTCGACGGCCTGGGTCTGCTAGGCCTGCTAGCGGAGCTGCGACACCTGACCCAACAAGAACACCAAGTCATGGCACTACAGTCAGCGCAAATGCTTCCCGAAGTCAGCCAAGCCAAGGTCAGCCTGAAGTGTACATCTTGTCATCCCCTGCCGGTCCTCGAGCCCTTCTCATCAACAACCCCACGGAAATGTACTTCACACCTTCGGCAAGATACCCAATCGGCCCGCCGCAGCTCCCCTTCCCGCACTTATCACACTTGTCGCCTTGGGATAATCATGCGGCGAACAACAGACAACGAAATGCTGTTCCGACACCACAAGGACAGCAGGCTCAGCAATATCCAGTGCCGGTGCGCTGGACAGACACCCCGCAGCAACAGCAGCAGCAACAACAACCCCAGAATGTGCCTGTCCAAGTGAGACAACAGGTCGAAGTCCGGGTTGCGCCTGGCGGAGCACAGCTGCATCCTAACAACCCGGGAGCCGGTGCTCTCGCTGCGGCGGTATGGCCTCACATTTGGCTATTGATCAGGCTAGCAGCATTTGTCTGGTGGTTCACGGCTGCCGACACCAGCTGGTCCCGCTGGATCACTATCATTGCTCTTGCGACCGCGGTGTTCCTCCTCAACACTGGGCTGCTGAACGGAATGGCCAACCAAGCTTGGGATCCCTTCCGAAGGCACCTGGAGGGCCTCATACCCCTTGCAGACCCGAATCAGGCGCGGAACAGAGCTGCTAATCCGCAGGTTCCTGCTGGCGCGCCGCAGCAGGACAATAATCACCCTGCTGGCCGGCAGCCGAACCCCGACCCGGCTCAAGTCGCCGCTAGACTGGTGGCACAGCGTAGAGATGCCAATGCCGGCTGGCTTATGGAGCAGGTACGCCGCCTCGAGCGCGCCGGACTTCTATTCCTCGCTAGCATCGCTCCAGGAGTGGCAGAACGGCATATTGCGCATCTAGAGGCCGAGGCGCGCGCAGCAAGAGAGGAGCAAGAGCGCATTGAGAGGGAGGCGAGAGAGGCTAGAGAAGCTGCAGAGGCTGCGGCGGCCGAGGCGGCTGCGGCAGCAGCAAACCCTGAGGGTGCAGAGGGCAGCGAGGCAAATGGCGAGGAAGCTGTGCCTACGGGAAACGAGGCACAGGACGGAGGCGAGAACGAGAGACCCGCTGCTCCCGAGCCTTTGATTGCACTTTAAAACGGGAGGCATGAGATAAATGTATCAATACAAAAAGTGAAAAGCATGCGGAGCGCAAACCAAGCACGGTGTTAGGTATCTGATGTATGCAGATATGTCAAAATAGGTCAAATGTGAGAATTGACAACTGGTTCGAAAATCAGATCACCTAGATGCATGTGAAAACCCCACTGGGCACGAGAGATTTGATCTTTTAATGAAGCGTCTGGAGCTATAACAGCTCCAAGGTTGAATTCAAGCTTTCGATATATCTGACTACAGACATCCGCCCCGTGCTTGGCGCCTTACTCAACATCGATAGCGTCATGGTTGCTGTCCGTTAAGAAAGAAGCTTGTAAATCGCCCAGGCGATGGAAACAATGACGGCGGCCATCAGACCAGCAGGTCGAGGTGTCGGGGGTCTCGATGGAATGCACATGGTGGCAGGGTTTGAAAATGTGCTGTCTTGCTGATGTTTTGTGGAGTTACTGCTTTGGTCAGATTGAATTATTTTATCTGTCTAGAATAGGAAACGAGTCGATGGGTGAGCTGGTCCTGCAAGAGATTATATACTTGTCATCTACAGCATTCACTAGATTTGATCTTGACTGAATGACTGACTCTAGATGAGTGACAGCTCGATGAACTCGCACGTATTGGAAAATTCACTTTGAATCTTGGGGCTCTGGCTTTAGTGACTAAAAGACATTAGTCACTCATGAAGATCTAGATGCTCCTGCCAGCTAGTAAAAGATGATAGATTCAGTCAACTGTTAATATGTGAGACTGCTTTTTCAGCCTCAATGCTGCCAAATGATATCACGACTTTTCTGACGTATTAGAGTTCATTTCTTTGCATCCTCGGCCATGCCCTGTTGGATCCATTCTCTGTTCTTCCTTGCGATCTCTTCAAGCTCCTCTTCAGTCAACGGTTTGGCTGGCTTAGCTTTGGGTGGAACATTAGCACCCTTGGCAATTGCTGGCCGTTCGTGGACCTTCTGCAACCATGCCTTGAGATGTGTGAACTCTTCAATATCAATCCCAGCCCAGGCTGTAAACCAATTAGTTGAGGGCCAAAAACATGCTGCGTTAGATGGAACTCCTCACCGTGTGAAGATACCCAGCCGATACAGGCAATATCAGCGATGGTCAGCCTGTCTCCGACCAGGAAACCTGATTTAGACTTCGAGAGCTGCTTGTCCATTACTCGATACAGCCTTCTGGTCTCGTTCTGATAGCGGTTGACACCATATTCAATCCTTTCTGGCGCATAGCCTAGAAGAGATTGTTAATCATAGCCCCCGATCAAAGCATAACTTTCAGGTTACTAACGAGTGAAATGGTTTGCTTGCCCCTGCATTGGGCCGAGTCCTCCCATTTGCCAAAACAGCTACTTGTCATCAGTACGTAGGAATCATGCTAAAAAGGGCACGTGCAAGGTGTCATACCCAATTGTTCACTTCATAGTACTCCTTGGTACCATGAGGATACGATACCTTATTTTCGGTATCGTACCTATCTACTAGGTATTGCAGAATAGAGCCACTCTCAAACAATCGGATAGGGGTGCCATCAGTGAAAGTGTCAGTGATTGCTGGAATTCGTCCATTGGGGTTGATCTTCAGGAACCAATCCTCCTATGCAAGGGTTCATTTAGCTCTACGGCGCGGCTGCTTAAGCGCGAGAGGCTCGGACTCACCTTCTGCGTATTCTTGGAGAATTCAATGGCCGTCACCTTCAAGCGCGAGTTAGTGAGGGTACAATGCGAGCTGATGGCTGACAGAATGGCCAACCTGATAGGGCAGCCCCAGCTCCTCTAGGAGCATGGAGACCTTCACGCCATTAGGCGTGTTAGTAGTGTACAAGTGAATGTCGGATTTGGCAGCCATGTTCAAGTGCGATGCTATTTGCGCGACTCTAGATGTCATCAACTCTCAGAGAAATGACGATGAGGGTCAAACTTTCTCTTTAAACGCACGAGTGAAGCCGTCTTCGCAGCGATGAATGGGTGCTTAGAAATCAGGTGCGCGCCCTGCGTCATTGGGAAGCGCACAAACTACCACTCCGATCATGCAGCCCTTACACACGGCAATGGCGCAATCGAAGCGCTGGCCCAGATTGCCAAGTGGAGTTGCCGGAGCCGTGTAAGTTGGTCGATCGGTGCGCCTTTCGGTAGCAGCGGGGTAAGTCCGGCTTGATGAGTTGCAAGTTACCAAAATATTCCGTCACTTGGCAACTTAGTTACGAGGGAGTGTTAGCTATTGGGGGTAATGAGTTTAATGTATGCATCCTACTTATTTGATCTGTCTATGCTGGAAAAGGAGTAATTCCAAGCTTCGCTTGGCTTCAACGCAAAGTCCGAGGGAGTCCCAACCCTAGTGTGACAGTTGGCGAGTTGAAAGCCATCGAAATTACGCTGTCCGGTTCCCCCAGCAGTTGACTTTTCGTGGCCCAAAGGGGGAAGTCTAAATTGACATACCTCCTCGACAGCTAGAGGCCGGCCGCTCACTTTGAAACTAGTGGTTGAATATCAGGTCAGGTACATCCCCCTTTGGCCATATGTTTTCTGTTCTGAGCCATAACCCAACTCGCGTGCGGTCCAAGTGGACCTGACTGAGGTTGCCCAGCTTCAAGAGAGGCATTATCTCCACCTTGGTAACCCATGAAGACACAAAATGAATCGGAGAACTTGTACGGCCCAGTACCTCCGGTTCTGTTGACTATACACTCCTTTTCCTGCTCTTGGATAAAATTGTTGGCTGCCAGGACCATGTTATGGCCGTTCACCTTCCGAGCTTGGATCTCTTGCCAGTCCCTCTCGTATGTTGGATGGCGATACTCCAACCGCGGAGCAAAGAGTCTGTCGTCTGTGATGCATTCGCATCTACAGGCATAGGGAAACACGGGCTCGGTGGGGTACCAGTGATCGGGATGTACTCGTCGTCTACGCCATTCGCGGAGGATGGGAGCCGCTGTTTGGTCTAGATGTGTATGATGGCGGCGCAACAAGGCATCGAACGTGATATCCGACGTCAATATTCTCTCGTTGGCATCGACATATTGGGGTGTCGTGTTCTGGTAGGTATTGCCAGCAGTTGCTTCCTCATGGTCGGGGTTTGGCGAGTAAGTCGTATGCACCCTATCTGAGTGCTCCATGCGGTATTGTTGCCGTAAGTTGCTAAAGTTGCTCCGCGCGGTAGCTGAATAAAAGCCAGCTTTTTGGCTGTAGGATTGATATTATTGATGTTGTCGTCAGTTTTGAAATTTATATCCCCAAGTAATAACGAGATATCGTTCACAAACATAGAGACACGACGAAGATCCTTGGTGTGCTGTGTCGGAGAAAGCCTGAGCTGTGATCTCCGTAACTTGAATCAGGCAAGCGCAACCCAGAACCAATGGCTCTTGTCAAAAGCTAATTATCCTCCTAAAATAAACAACCTTTAAGGTCAGTGTTCTTCATCACATATCACCAGAAAGCAAGTTAGCAATGAGACGCGAGCTAAGTTCAGATGGCAACCAGTTTTTATGCTCCTAATCCTGATCAACGATCTTCTATAACCTATAGCGAGCGCCACGGGTCCCGCCCTCCACGGAGGAGAAGATGTCGGCCGACTAGAGCAGAAGTGCTTGTGAACCAGAGACGCCTAAAGAGAGTATGGGTATCTTCGTGCCGAGCGAGACGAGAAGAAAAAAAAAAAAAAAATGCGTGAACCACCCTTAGAAGTCGGCTACGTTGATGTCATGTGCCATTCCAGAAGACTGACGATCACAAGCCCGAGACTTTAACGCCCATTCGAGTGACTAGTAAAAATCTGCGCCTGAGCTGTAGAAGAGTGACGTTTCCATTACCGACAGCTGTTTCGGAGGGCGCATATTGACGACAGCTAGTCCTGGCGGCGCAAGCGAGATGTGACGCGAGAAGGGACGGAACGGGGATCTGTGTTCAGGAGCTTGATCATGTACTCCTTGAATACGCCCCAAGTCTGGGCGATGGCGCCAGTAGAAGCATCCTGAGCCGGGACGGGAGGGGTTGGGGCACGCTGATGAAGGTGGCCGGACCAGTCGCCCTCGTGGCCGCTCTGGGATCCCTCGCGAGAGTCGACGGACTGCCAGCCGTCACGGCGCTCAGTCGGTGGGTAGTCGACAAGCAGCGGCTCCTCTGATATGGGAGCGGACTGCGGCTGCGGCTGAGTCTGAGGCTGCTGGGCCTGTTTGCCCTTGCGCTTGAACTTGCGGCGGAGATAGTTGATGAATCGCATCTTGAGGGCTTGCGGTGGCTGATCTGCTTTCGAAAGTCAGTACAACCGTCTCGAGACACATGCCACAGTCCGTTCTTACGAGCTGAGAAAGGATTCGAATAGGGAATCTAAAGCTATACGACTGTGACGTCGTTGAAGGCAGGATCTGCCGCAGCAGACGGCGAAGACAGACTGCTGGATGCTTTCTGAGATCTGGCGATGTAACAGCCAGGATATGAAAGGCTGAAGCTTGTGAAAGGGAAGAGATATGAAAGGAAAAAGATTATGGGAGTGGAGATATTTATTGTTGACCAGCTAGCCAGGACCAAAACACCTGTGTCCGGGCCGGGGAAAGGGGGTGAATATGTTTGTCTTTGCTTTGCTCCCTAGCTCACTGCTATGATGGCAGTAACAGGCGGAAAGGCAAAAAAGGCTGTGACTAGATACCAAGGATTGTTGTCCATGGCGGCTTGCACGAGTTTGGACTTGGAGCCGAGCCGCTCTTCACCAGCCATGAAAAAGCGGATCTCTTACAAGCAGATTCGAAGCCCCAGGAGGCAACATATTGGGCTACCACTAGTTGGCCGTTTCGATTTCTCCTACTTTCGAGAGCCTCTCGTTCATGTCTTGAAGAGCCGATTCCATGCCATCAGTTTGAGCCTTCTCCCGAAGCTTGTGCAGGATGTCTGCTGTCCTGTCGGCCTGGGCGTCCTTCGACTTCACACGTTGAAGGACGCCGACGAAACCACCACCTACGATCTTCAAAGTGCCGACTTTAGGGCGACATCTCGTCAGGACCTTGCGAGATGGACCTTCCGAGACTATCGTATGCTCAATGCTCCAATCCCGGCCGCCCGAGTTTGACGGGCCCTCTTTCGGCTCCGAGTCCATAGTGTTCGTCGGCAGCTCGACCACTCGACTCGTGACAAACGGCAGCCCGCGGCGGGTGGCCTCCTGGATGAATTCGGCAATTTGAGTGATGGAAGGACAGAAAAGGAGTAGTAAGCCATCCGGTCGCAAAGCAGCAGTTACAAGCTCGACACTTGTTTGGTCCGCGAATGGATCAGGCAGGTCCAGAATTGCATGGGCAAGGAATGGCTCATCGCCTTGGGCGAGAAAGCGCGAGGCAATATACTCCGAGATCGTTCCGACATGCAAGGACGTATCCAACGCGTACAGACCCCGGCGAAAGCCACGAATGTTTCTGTGTGCGCGGCGGCTGTGATCTGAGTTGATGTCGAGAGACTGGATAATAGCTCGACGCGCTGGCAGGTATGCCTGATATGCCGAGACGGTGTCCTCACTAGGAAGGATTAATGAATTATGGTCCGGCCGCTCCGGAGTTGAAGTCGTCGGGAGTCCTTCGCCGGGGTCTCGAGTCGCAAATCGAGCACGCTTTGGCACGTACTCGGCATGGAGAAGAGCTGTTCGCAGTGCCGGGGGAACTGGGGGGTTAGCGCCATGGATGGCACGGGCGAGATGCAATGTCAATCCACCGTGCCCTGTCCCGGCCTCAAATATCTCAAATGGAGGTGCGGAATCAACAAATGGATCCTCGCCAGGGGCGGGTAGATCAATATCCAACATTGACACGATAAGATTGGCGTCTGCTGGGTAGATCTGGGAACGGCGTCAATATAACGGCAATTACAGGAGACAGCAGCAGCACTAGGGATCATCATCACTCACTGGTGTTACTAGACGGGGTGCATACACGACGTAGGAAGAAAGGCTCGTCTCAGACAGACGGAATGCCTTCCTTCCTTTATCAGCACTGATGACATCGTGGTATGGACGACCGATCAGGTCAGACCCCTTGAGAGAGCAACCTTCAACGCTGAACTCCCAATCCGGTCTGAGCGGTGGACTGAGATGAACCGATCTGCCGCCTCGCGTTCGACGAATGCTGACCACATCTCCTTCTGTAGCATGCGTCAGTTTCTTGGATTCTAGTAAATTCAGGGGTAAAGGGGTCAATGCAGCAGAACTTGGCAGTGATACTGCTGTTCCCGTTCCTTGAGGTCGACCGGATTGCCGAATGAAAAGGAAGATGTGATTGTGAAATAAGCTGTAGATTGAACATTGCCCACCTTGTATTATCCCTTGAGACATATAAGTCCTATGCATGGCCGGAGCCCGCAGCGGGCGCAGGCATACCGGCCGAGCCACGGCTCGAAACGGCTGCATCGTGACTCGATGCGGCAGCCACTTAGAAGCCTCTGTGTAAATTTCCCAGAGGAGCCGAAGAAGCCGTCGGCCAATTCGATGCACTCCTCCAACTTGGACTAACTAATCGTGTTCGTGGTGGTGGTGGTTGTGAGCATGTGCTAGGCTCTTCAGCTTCTGTGCAGGGAGAAACGATGCATGTGAAAAACTGAAGATTGGCCCAGAACCGCAGCGCTCAGTAGCGCCATCGAAGGGGCCAGGCTTGTTGTGAAGTAGCGCCTATGGATCGGGCGCCGGCGCAAAGCCGTACCCCAGATTTGCCTCTTCCAGTGGTCCAGGTGGCAGGCCGGAGCTGGGGCCCTTGTCGGGTGGTGGCCTGTGGCCCCTGTGGCCCTGAGCCCAAACCCGAAAAGGGCTGCGATAACCCTGCGTTGCATTTTCCCTGATCGCAATCCCTGCCACGAGGCATCCCATTTCCTCCCCCCTTCGAAACCCTGCACGAAACCAAGGAAAATCCTGTCCGCATAGTAGCAAAAGTGTCGAAGTGTCTCCTGCTGCCATCGACAGCAAAACACCTCAAGCTGCCGCTGCCTTCTGCTCTCAACGCCCTGAAGAGCTCCTCCATCTGCGCTGCTAGCTTGTTTGCTTGCATCTCGGCGTAGCTGTTAGGTGCCGGAAGTGGCAAACAGGGCCTCGCCCGGATATGGTCGCTACATCGCTGCTGCTGGGAAGCACGTTTCTGCTGCCTCTGCATCCCGCTGCCGCCCCTCAACGACTGCGATAGAGATAGCTAATCTCCTCCGCTGAATCATTGATTGATTGCCTCAAGCGTGTCTCGGGTGTCTCCCGCCCAGCGACATCATGACGCGAAGGATCGTACGTTGGCCCTCCTCTTGCGGTTGACAAGCTGTGTCGCAATCAAGATCGTCACATGCTTCAACCCAATGTGAAGAGTCCCCAGCACTGACAGCCTACCTTTTCTCCTGCAGGTGCGAACGATCATCCAGGTCGCCTCGGCGGCCGTCTTCACCTTTTTGGTCATCTTCTTCCTCGACAGGAATTTCCGCGTCCTGCCCAACTCGATCCACGAGCACATGCCCCAGCACCATGCCGGCCTCATCATTACCGACATCACCATCGCAAAATGTTCGTCGCTCAACGTCTTCTCCTCCTGCAAGCTCGACACCGACGTATGGTACCGCATCGAGAAAGACCTGTACCTCGGAAAGTCGATGGTGTCGGGTGCTTACCTTCACGTGCAGCGCAAGAAAGAGGAGGAGCTCACCGCCGATGACAAGGTCGTCATGGATGTGCAGGTGGGGAGATTAGACCCTGGTGTGGGCACAAAAGGAGAAGCAGACGAGCGGTGGGAGAGCAGGCCTGGAGGATTGTGGATCAAGCGCTCTGCGAAGCGCCATGCCAGCGACTCGAAAGAGGCAGTCACAGCAGTGGACGTGCTGTTCGGAGACGACGCCGTTGAAGCGCGCGAGGGATGGGACATGCCGGCGACCGGTACCGCGTTGCTGATAGATTCCGGGCCGAAGATCCCCTCGGCGCATATCACGCTGAGACGTGGGAGTCAAAAGGAGCCGACGAAGCCGCAGCCGCGTATCAACGATAACGGAAAGTTCAAGATCATGCAGGTGGCTGATTTGCACCTAAGCACAGGTGTCGGCCACTGTCGAGATGCCGTCCCTGATGGCTACAACGGAGGCCAGTGCGAGGCAGATCCTAGAACATTGGATTTCGTCACCAAAATCCTGGAAGAGGAGCGGCCAGACTTGATTGTTCTCAGTGGAGATCAAGTCAACGGCGACACAGCCCCAGATGCTCAATCTGCAATCTTCAAATACGCACAACTGTTCATCAAGTACAAAGTCCCATATGTCTCCATCTTTGGAAACCACGACGACGAAGGCAAGACATCACTGCCGCGATCTGGTCAGATGGCGCTCATTGAGACGCTGCCCTACTCGCTGTCTGTGGCCGGGCCGGACGATATTGATGGCGTAGGCAACTATGTCCTCGAAATCTTGGCTCGAGGGAAGTCCTCTCACTCGGCGCTGACAATCTACCTGCTGGATTCTCACTCATACTCCCCCGATGAGAGGAAGTTCAAGGGTTATGACTGGATCAAGAAAAACCAGATCGACTGGTTCCAGCAGACTGCAGAGGGTCTGAAGAAGAAACACAGGGAATATACCCATTACCATATGGATGTCGCTTTCATCCATATTCCCTTACCGGAGTATCGGGACAAGGACCAATACTTTAAGGGGGAGTGGAAGGAGCATGTCACAGCTCCAAACTTCAACTCGGGCTTCCACGATGCCCTGGTCGAACAAGGTGTTGTCATGGTCAGCTGTGGACAGTAAGTTTAACCCTTCTCGAGATAACGAGCATTATTGACATCCCTTCTAGTGATCACGTCAACGAGTACTGCGCGTTGTCGGTGGATGACAAGAAGAAGCCTAATCTATGGATGTGCTATGGCGGCGGCGCTGGATTTGGAGGCTACGCCGGCTACGGAGGCTTCCACCGCAAGATCAGGATATTCGACTTTGACATGAACGAGGCACGCGTTTCAACATGGAAGCGGACTGAGTATGGCGAGACCGACAAAAAATTAGACGAGCAGATCATCGTCGATGCTGGAAAGCCCGTCGCTCCCATGGAAGGCTGAACTTCTAATGCCACTCCTCACCTCACCCTTTTTGCTTGTGTTTCGAAAAGCTTATATCATGGCGCTGCAGGAGACGGCGTTCGGCCTTGGCGATGGTGGCGTTCCCCTCTGGTCTTTTACATGGCCTCCTACTTTTTCACGTACATACGCATCTCCTTTATTTTCTGCCACTGTCGTTTTCTCCTTTGCCACTTTTATATCGAATCTCCGATGACATCGGCTAGTCATGTTGGATGGGGCAGACAAGCGAGCAAGCTGGAGCATAAATAGGAGTGCCGGCAGACACCTGTGGCGGCAGGGTTGTATTTCCTTGGTGACAATAGAAAGCTATCAAGTCTCCTTTTGGCCGAGAGTAGCCACCATATTTTGCCAGAGGACTATGGACTATGTATCAATAATGGAAATCTTTAAGACAATATGGACTATCAACCGCGCTGCCTATTCTCTATTTCTGACATCTAATTATGTATCCCTCTCCCGCCTGTGTTTTGACAGTACCAAGACCCAGGAGGAAGAGAGAAACCAGGAAACAGCTACTAGGAAAGGAACAGGAGTCTACAGGTTCGTACCTGAGTCTCTCTATCTTGGGGTGCAATGATGGAACAAAGCCAGAGCATCACCAGATAAAACAAAAAGAAGGAAAAAGGAAGATGCTAGCAACTGCACGTTTCGATCGTACGGTCTCCAGGTTATGAGCCTGGCGGGTTCCCGCTACCCCAAGTTGCTGTGAACGAACAGCGTTTGATTTTGGCATATAACCGCGGTGCTTGTTGTCGGGATGGGAGTTTTGTTGAGTGTGAGTCATAATGAAGGTTTGCCTGATAGGGGTTGTGATTGTGGCACGGTCATCTGAGAGCAACTCGCGTAGGACATCCTGGCAGAGAATGACTCTTACGAGAAAGTATATGTCTCAGGCGATTACTTCCTACGGCTTCGTAGAGAGTATGCCTGTTCCCGTCTTGGGACTCACGGCTTTCATCGAGTTTAAGAGGATGATGTACGCCTAGAGCCCAGACGGAGCTACTCCCAGTATACGATGACGATATTGAATTGTCAAATCACAGTCAAGATCAAGAAATGAGCTCAGAAAACATCATACTTGAGTATCTCGTATATATACCAAGCATCATGTAACAGGTAAGGACTGCGAAAGGTTTGGGGTATCTCTATGACTGATGCTTCCGCTCAACAACAAAAAAACAAGTTGCCAAACCAGGCCGAGGCCGCTTCGCTAACACGCTTCAGACATTTGGACACACACCCACACACACACACACACCGTAACTCCTCACGTAGCCATAGCAGGCTGTCCTGTTCATTTTCCCTCATGGCCTAAGTTCATCGATCCTTCCACTGCACTCGGATCTCTCTCTCGTCCTCAGTCAGTCAAAAACGCCAACATGAAGCCAGGAGATGTGTGTGAGTGCAATGAACCAGCATTGCCGCAACAAAATTAACCTCTGTAACGACGATTCCTTCCATACCCGCCCAGAGAGACCCTTTCCGGTATCTCTTTGCCAAAAGCACTGGCAGCCGCCAGCCTGTGGCATACACGGAGAAAAGAAAACAATACCAATACTAATAATAATGCTCGACGGGAGGAGCTCCAGGGTCACCCGCCGAGCTTGACTGCGTAGAAGTATAAGTATATACCTCATGTTGAATGGGGAAACCCCTCTCGGCCCCCGTAAAGAAGCCTTGCCGGGAGAAGGGGTTGCAAATGCCGTTCTGTATCACCGGCATGTTTGCAGTCTTGTGATGTAAGTAAAAGCATCATTCGTCTTTCTCCACCGTGCACAACGTCTCTCACACACTCTTCGCGGAGCGGTTGTTGTTGTTGTTGTCTGTTTCAATAAATGCTGATGCAAATAGGCTCGCGCCCTCTTTGGTCTTGATAAGACTTTTTTCTGATAGCCCTTCTCTTCACTTTGCCTCCGTGTGGAGTAGTAGATATAGGTCCTGCGCCGCGCTGAAAGACATTTGCAGTCGACAATAAAGCAAGGTAAAGACCAGAAAAATTGGGAATAAGGTTGGTGTGAAGTTGACGAAAACCCCCAGTAAATGAGATGAAAAGTAGAAATGGAAAGCTGTAGCATCCGAGGTCCTGACAGATGACAGGTCTTGGGCCAGGAAAAGGTGATTAGGCGTATGAGGATGTCAAAATCGACCATTAAATGCTTGCGACCCTGGCCCTTCCATCAGGGACTCGCGCATGACATACCATCAGCTTCAAGCTCGTTCCCCACTCCTCACACTCGGCCATCAGTGCTCTGTCATTCCACATGCTGCTGTTATTCAAGCCCGCATCCACAGCAGCGCTCTCATAACAACGGTTGTACCACCATCTGCCCACCTTCGCCACCATCTTGGTAATATTCTCGTCGGCAACAGGGCTCTCGTCACTCATCATCTCCGCCAGACTGCGGTCATCCCTCTTAGACTTGTCCTTGGACTTAGTCTGAACGCTCGGTCGACCGGTGATGTTTGGCACGTCACCTTCGCTTCCAGAGGATCGTGGAATAGTGCTTGCAACTGGGACGCCTACTCGACATGTCTTGATCTCCGAAAAACCCTTACGTCCGAGGAGTCTTAGGATAAGGTCTGCGGTAGAAGCCAAGCTGGTATCCGGTGTCGCAATGTGTATCTGCTCCTTGAGTCTCCGTACAGCTCGTCGAGATCGATTACCCATGTTATTCAGGTCAACATCCAGGATCGATAGTTCGATAAAGCCTCCAGGCTTCAGTACGCGACGAGCTTCGGTGATGATGTTACGGTAATGAGCTTCCGGAGCGGCTGCTGGGAAACGATAGACAACGGAAGTGAAGCTCTGAGGACCGAAGGGAAATTTATCGTTGTGCGACAGGTACTGAATCTGATGATGGTTTGGTGGACTTAAGGGGAATGTCGAGGCAGCTTGATGTTCCGCTGGGAGGGGTGCTCGCGGCGAAAGGTTGAAGAAGGTCGCCGCCGGATATGTCTCTGCCGCGTAGAAGGACCAATCATCGTTACCAAGACCGTCAATGACGAGAATGGAGTGTCTCTTTAGTGAGCCAACAACAGGGACAAGGTCGTCCCTGGCAGGACTGAAGAGAACGTGGCCAAATGTCAGCCATTTACTAACTGTCATCGAGCCAACGCGAAGGTTGACTTGCGATAACGGCGAGTTGTCTTCAGACACTTGGCTGCATGTGCTGGCAACTGACACCCTAGCCTTGCGTCGCTTCCCGTCTGTTGAGGTGCTCCCGTGCTTATCTTGAGACTGACCCATATCGACGCTGTTGTTGCGGTCACCATATCCGGTCACGAATTCAGTGACAGAAAAGGGAGTCAAGGGAGCAGCGCCAGCCGCTTCTAGAGCCTCATTTAGCTTTGCAGTCATGTCCTGGCTGTACACACTTGATGCCGTTGGAGCAGATATTCTCTCGATAGCTTTCTCAAGGTTTGTCACCGGATGAATATTGATAGTTGGTGACTCGAGTGACTGGTCAAGCTCATCTTTCAAAGCCCGCTTGCCCCAACTTTCCAGATGGAAAGGTCTTCCCTGAGACGATCCTGCAGATGGAGGCACTTTGAGACTATCCTCGCCAAGCAAGTCATTGTACTCATCCCAGATCTCATCCTCCACTAAAGGAGCATTCACCTCAGGAACTACTGCTGTAGCGTCGGCAAAGGTGAGTATGCCTGAACTGCTCGAAGTAGTGGTTGAGGTACATTGCGAGTTGAAGCGAGGCGAGAACCTCAAAAACTCATTCTGCGCTCGCGCTGCATCTGGAGAGAATTCTCTCGATAGTCGAAAGCGAGTCGGCGAGTCACTCTTCCCACTAGTCAAGGTAGATCCTTCTTGAATAAGGTCCGGAGTTGGGCTAGACGGCTTTGGAGGGCTTGCACCTTTGGCAATGGAATCTGTATCCACCGCTTCAATTGGAGCCGGGGGTATCTGCATACTGATGCGGTTGAAGGGACGGGAGAACGACCTCGGCGAGGTTTGCTCTGGGCGAGCGCTTATAACTTTAGGGATGCGACCAACTTGAGGCAGCCGGCTAGGACGGCCATGTCCAGGCAGTGGAGATGGGGCTTGTTGTCCGGGGCTCGGCTGGATGATGCCAGATGATTGTTCTGGTTGTGACACAACAAGAGGAATTCGTCTCGAAATCTGTGACATCTCTGATCGAGTTGAATCTCCAAGGCTCTGTGCATCTTTCTTTGGCCCGTTGAAGGATGGTCGCCGTTGACGGGTGGCTGGGATCTGAGGCGATTGCGGGCTTCCCAGGACATGAGCATCCCGCAGGACTTCTTCGACATCGGGAAAATCGGCGTCTTCCTGCTCTGAAAAGTCCATGGTATAGAATGCGACTGGCTTCTGTTGCACCACCTTGACGGTAGCAGCAACAGTTGGCGCGGTATCTGGCCGTTCTTTTGGGATTGTTGCCGGCTGGCTCTGAGACCGACCAAAGAAATTCCATTTTCGCGGAGATTTGGCCCTCTTCGTCAACTTCTTTGGTGCAGGGGCTCCAATCTGTTTTCGGCCACGGACAGGCTTGGGTTGAGGCTCATACGCTGAATCGTCAGACATGACGCTCGTATCTAGACTGTTGACCGATGGCGAAGTAACCCCCTGACGGACGACAATAGGCTTGGGCAACCGCATGGCTGCTTGATCTGCGGTCTTAAGGCGCTGAACAGATCGTCGAAAAGCTAGAGTAGACTTCATAGCAAGTGTCTCAGAGTCACTACTGTCGGATGGCCTCCGGTGGCTGAATCCTTGGGCCTGCATGGAGCCTCGGGGAAAGGCTGACGGCCACAAAGTACTGCGCGGATCTTGCGATGACAGCGACAACTGAGAACTATTCTGAGAGTCCAAGGTCGGTCGGCCATAGCCGAAGCTCTGATTGCTCTCTGTACGAGACAACTCTGAGCTCGTATTTCGATTCTCAATGATTTCGCCTCCGGCGATGACAACGGGGTTCATGCGTTCTGCCAAGAAGAGATCTTGTGACTGT